AAAGTGACCAAAACATCAGCCAGAAAGCATAGGAACTGAGAAGTGGTCTGTGGTCACCACTTGCAAAACCAGTCCTTTATTGCTCTTGCTAATTGCCTATAATTTCCACCTGTTGTCTATTCCATTTGCACAACAGCATGTGACATTTATTGTCAATCAGTGTTGCTTCCTAAGTGGACAGTTTGATTTCACAGAAGTGTGATTGACTTGGAGTTACATTGTGTTGTTTAAGTGTTCCCTCAATTTTTTTGAGCAGTGTATATAAAAAACATGGGGGATTGGAAGTGATGCAGACAATTACATTGATAGAAGATACAACCTATCTGCAATATTAAGCTGATCCATCCCCCAGAAGAAAAAAAAAGTGTTGGTCACATGTTTCATGAGCTGAAATAAAAGATCCCAGAAATGTTCCATACGCACAAAACGCTTATTTCTCTTAAATTTTGTGCAAATATTTTTTCCTTTGCCAAGATAATCCATCCACCTGACAGGTGTGGCATACCAAGAAGCTGATTAAACAGCATGATCATTACACAGGTGCACCTTGTGCTGGGGACAATAAAAAAGCCACTCTAAAATGTGCAGTTTTGTCAATTGGCATGCTGACTGCAGGAATGTCCACCAGAGCTGTTGCCAGAGAATGTAATGTTAATTTCTCTACCATAAGCTGCCTCCAACGTTGTTTTTGAGAATTTGGCAGTAAATCCAACCGGCCTTTACAACTGCAGACCACGTGTAACCACACCATCCCTGGACCTCCACTTCCGGCTCATTGTGCAACTTCATGTTTTCAATAATCTATGCCAACCCTGTCTGTTTTGTCCCATAGTTGTGCAGGTGCTAAACAACCAACCCGTCTATTATAAGTCCTTTAACTGACCTCATTTTCTAAATAAGCAGTTGATTAACAGAAAAACTGTGCAAAAGAGGTACAAAGAAAGTGGAAGACACCTGTGGTTGCCATTGCTTCTCACAATTTTATTTTAACAGCCATAATGCTAACAAATTGCACAAATCTCAGTTATAATAACATTAGATAAAAAATTTGAACAATATAAAAAACACCAAAGCAATCTTTTTTTGTTGCGACAATATTAAAACCTGAGAATTGAGTATGCCAGTCCTTGTCACTTGACCACACCTAGAACCCAACTGTAAAAACAGACTCCCAACATTCCCTCAGGCAAGGTCTTTTTGGGTCCAATTTAATTTTTTGAACATTTCTGGTTCAGCAAAGGTCAGCAAGAGACCATCTTCACACAACGAGGACCAGTTAGAGATAGGAGGTTATAGGTTTAAAGTCACCTAGGACAGAAACAGCAAGAGACCGCATCAATAACGTGACTATCAGTGTGTAGACAGTTCGGTAACACTTAACTGGATGTTCACTTCCCTATAGTCAACAAAACATCAAAAAGCAAGTAGAGACCCAAACAATTTTTAGCATTCATCTGGACTTAGCAGTTTCTGAGCTAAATCCGCCACTCTAGTTGAATATGTATGTTGGGACATTTACATGTAAGTATTTTGTCATTGGCTGTGAATCAGAGAAGAAAGTACTGCAGATCGCTATGGAGTTGCGGTCTGTCTAGTATCCTAGTTGCAACAGTACAGCTACAACAGCACAAAGCAACAGCGATTCACTTCATTGGACACACAATATGTACAATTTGGAGACCCTTCCCTTAAATCATCATTTATATCATTGGTATAATCATTCATCATTCCACAAGCAGCCACCATCTACTACATTACTCTGTTAACTTGATCATATACATTTTCAGACAATCATAACGTGAATTGTGATGTCTGCTTTTAATAATAAACAATTGTTATGACTTAGTTGTAATGACAGATTTTAATAATAAAGTTATGACTGCTAACGTTACAATCATAACAGTGTTATGAATGCAAACATTAGGCTTTTCAGGATTCAAGGAACAGTATTCTATATAATAATAATAATTAATTTAACTTGTAGTGCTTTTTCATTACAGAAAATAATCTCAAAGAGCAAAAAAAGCTTAACAAACAACATATTTAAATTGAGATATGCTTGTAGTGACAGCTTTACTCTGGTTGGTAACATTAGAACATGAGTAGTTGCTGAGGTGTCAATCTCACTTCAGAAATCACGGCACGGTCACAGTGAACACCAATAAAAAAAGATCACAATCATCGTATTCATAGAAAACATATGCCCATTTCTACTAGTTTTACCACAAAGTTTAATCTATATAAATCTAGTCACAATTCATAACTTGGAATGAGGCAGAGTATGTACGTTTCAAAGCACTAAAACTGCACCACATTGACATACTATAGTTTAGTACACACAAAAGCACCCGCACTAAAGTCTTACATACTTACGCACACACATACAAACAAACAAACAAACAACAAACAGGTGCAGGTACATTCACAGTGCAGGTGACACAGGGGTGTCGTCGGGGAGAGTGTAGTATATGCGTGTTTGTGCTAGAGTGAGTTTGGTCCCAGGAGCTGATAAAACGTCTCTTTAAATTGAAGCTAGCTAGGATGGACAAAGGTGTGTCATTCATAGCCTGTCTTGTTGAGCTTGAAAAGTGGTAACACTATACAAGAACCAAACTGCCTTTACACGGTCATTACCTTGACATAACACCATTGTGGCTATGTCAAATAATTTAACATACACCAACATAACCATTCCATGTAACCAGTCTGTATTTGAAATCTGTTCTGTCTTGCAAATGAAAGTGTTAAGACAGCTACAAGCAAGGGTTATGCTCACTACTGTTGTACTGTTGTACTCAGATGACCAGATGAGTCACTTGTCAGAGATGCTGGTCTATGTGACAATCTTATGCCCTATATTAGGGAAGTGTCTTGATTGACAGGCAGATAGGAGAGTGAATGCGTGGAGGAGGAGGGGCATATCGGCAGAAAGGCACTAGCTGCTTTGACCAAGGGATGCCAACAGAGCTGGGGTCAAGGGGTGCTGGTGAGCGTCAAAAGTACACAAACACACACACACACACACACACACGATATTGGTTAATTCTTACAAAACAATTGGCAAAAAAGTAAAAACACCACTAACACAGACCACTGTGTTGTACATTGGAGTGGAACCATGGCTGATAGGGTTTTACGGAAACACACACACACACCTCGAATTAACGAACAGTAGCGGGTGAAACAGTCTAAAGGCAACAGCTCTGGTGCCTCCATGTATCGTTGGCAATAGGGCTCCTTCATCTGATTCTGAAGATCTACAACCCTGTGCTTTCATTACTACAATGAGGGCTAATACACATTTATAAACGTATTTGCCTTGTGGAGACCAGGCCGATGTCAGTTTGTCAACTGTATTTCAATGCAGGAGCTATGAGTCTTTAGAAAGTCCAGTTTGGAAATATGTGAGGTAACTGATTAAGGCAAATGGAAATACCACGTGCTGATGTTTTCCAAGTACATAACGACTCTTCTAGTAAATAATAGGGGCCATGGCCTCTTAACGTCATCAATAAAAATTAAAAGATATCTAGCCAAAGATCCCTTCAAGCTAGCTCTTCAAGCGGAGGACATTTTGTTAATCAATAATAGACAATAGCTTGTAATAGAATGTCAAAGTCACATGATAGGCCCGTTTGCAAGGTAACATCAGATCTAATATACTCTAGTATGGATATCAACCTGGACTCCGTCCATAGAGATGCACAGCAGAACTGCTCAAGTAGTTATGTTACAACGTCAAGTAATCCCCCTAGTGATCTGATGTGGAATAGCTTCCAACTCCGTATAACCTTCCTACAACATTGCACAACTAAATTAAGCTATGGTGCACAGGGTCATCCATTCCTCATGATATCCTAGGTAGTGAGGACCCGGTGACTTTAGATTGAGACTAACCAATAACATTCATAGCTATGGCCACATACTGCATAATAATGATCCATACTTGGCTAAGAACAGGCTATGTAGTTAGGAGCTCCACTTTCAATAATGCATCACCTGCGTTTTGAACTGGATGATAGCAACAGAAGAAGGTTTGAGCGTGTGATAAGAGTTTACGCCAACTCTCACTTGTAAACCTTTCAAATCTTTACACTGTCAAAAGCATGACGGAACATGTCCTGTGCAGTTACATTAGCTAGCCGGGCAAGCGAGTTAGCCACGGTCATCTTGCATACAGCTAGCTGCATGACATCATTGTAACTAAGGTTGCAAAGGGAGGGAATGTTAACGGTAACTTTCAAAATTGACCAGTAAACTACCAAACTTTTGGAAACGTTTAAGGATTTTAAGTAATTTTCATAGCATGTTAAAGATATAAAATATTAATTGTTTTTTTTATGAAAATTTTTTAAAAAATAGTCACATTACCGGTAGTTTTGCAACCCTAATTGCAACACTTGACTGCTTATGACATCTTACTAGTGACAGAGTAAAAGGTAGCTAGCTTCATGAGTGTGTTCAATCAAAGTTACCAATAAGACAGTCCAAGACGTTTAGGGCCAATGGGGATGGGCAAACATTTTCTATGTCCAATAAATATAATCCAATAAACAGAGACAAATCCCCTCACTCACCATTACCACAATTATACTGTACTAAAATAGGTTAAATTACAGTTGTATGAAAAACAAATGAGAGCAATATCCTGTTGAGAACCACAAGTATCAGGAGCGTCATTTGTTATGGAGGAGTGATCGCGTCATGCTCCTTGAAGACAGAGCCATATATATACAGAGTAAGGCAAACTTGGTTAAGACTAGGAATTCCACTGGTAGCCATGTTGGCACCAAAAGCTTGGAACACTTGGAGACAACATGGCGGACAGTTTCACAAACTATGTATGTCTATGGCTCTGCTGTAGGGTCGCCATCGTCGCCCCCTTCATGACCTGAAAGGAGAGCGCAATCCCAGGCCAGACTAGCTTTGACCAGTTTGGGGACCTGACCCGGATCTGTGAGTCTGCTGAGTGATAGGCCCAGCTCAGGTACCAGCAGAACTCAGAAGAGACAGGAAACAGCCAGCGGAACCAGGGCTGCAGACACAAAGTAGTTTACGCGGTATAGATGGAGTGGGGAGAAGGTCACCATGGCAACGGAGAGAGGCAGCAGTAGGCGGGATGTGATGGGCAGGGTTTTACTGAAACACAAGAGCGTTATACACAAGTTAAAACGCACGCCTGGGTGAAAGGACAGGAGTGAAGACAGACAGAAAGGATGTGTGTGTGCGCATGTGTGAGACCGACCGAGCAGCATAGTACAAGCACCTGTGGCTGAGAGTGAGTGTGTTGCAGTTGATGAGCAGCAGAGAGGCGATGAGGAGAGGCACGGTGTGTGGCCAGCAAGGGTCAGGATCCAAACGAGCAGCAGAATATCTGCAAAGAGAAAACACAATTAAAGGAAGGGGGGGGGGGGGGGGGGGGATCACAGTTCTACACATGGACACACACACGGTAGAGTTAGGGTGGACAAGGTAAGGGTTGAACACACACACACACACACTCTAGTACCTGAGGTTGCGGGTCCAGTGGATCAGTGATGGGGCACAGAGCATGACTGGTAGAGTGAGGAGAGCAGACAGGCTGACGTGCAGCTGCAGGTCGTCTCTCACATCTTGCAGTACTGAGTCCGACAGCAGGGGGGCGCCCTTACATTCTTTGGGTTTGCCGTCCAGGGCCTCACTGTCCCCAGTGCCATTCTCTTTGTTACCAGTTCCGTTCTCTTTGTCTCTCTGTTTCTCGGGCGCCTGGAAAGGTAGTGGTGATTATAATCAATATATGAAGATTGAGAGGGCATTTTAGAGAGGGCAATAATTCTGAATCTTACCAGGTTCAGCATATGACTCAGAGACCTCTCTGTCATCTGTAGCCTCAGAACCTGGATAGAAACATAGGCATACATTGGTAAACCACAGGAAAACTAACAAGTTCAATGAGTAAGTATTTAACTGGGCCCCTAGACTCACTCGGTAGAGATGGAGCAGGAAGGTGGCTGTGATTGACAGGGCTCCACAGGAAGCACCTCCTAACACGCTCAGACACAGGATGAGGAGCAGCTGAGTCCGCCTACGCAGGGTGCCACAGTCCCGAGACACAGAGGGCCTGAAAGCAGACACACACAACACGATTCAACTAATTTCAATTCAATTAAATGTATTCTCACACACACACACACACACACTAGACTCAACTAATTCCAATTCCATGTAGTTCAATCTAATGCATGAGGGGAATGGGCATTCATTACCTGTGCAGCGGGGCCAATAGCAACGAAAGCAGCTGTAGAAAGAGGCGGAGCAGCGCGCTGCCCCAGAAGGCCATGGCCGCTCCCAAAACATACAGCAGGGGGGACAGGAGGCGTGGCCAGTCTACGTTTAGGGGCACCCCCTCCTGTGTCGTACCATCTGGGGAGGTGGCAGGGAGAGCATCTAAGGGCGGGAGATGAAGAGTGGACCAACCATCCTGGAACCAGCTATACCTGGATACAAATAGAGGAATGAAGGAGGATAGAGGGACTTTGTATGGTGTGGTGTGGTTTCATGTAATACGAGTGGTCATTCACAGTGTGTCTGTGTGCATGTGTGTGTGTGTGCACACCACAGGAGGTTGGTGGCAACTTAATTGGGGAGGACTGGCACGTGGTAATGGCTGGAGCGAAAGGTATCAATAACATCAAATACACGGTTTCCATGTGTTTGATGCCATTCCATTTGCGTTCCAGCCATTATTGTGAGCCGTCCTCCCCTCAGCAGCCTCCACTGGTGCACACACATGCATGCTTGATGGAATAATAGGTCTACCTGAGCAGCAGATGCAGCAGGTAGACGGGAAGGTCCACCTTGTGGGGCTGCAGGGATCTGGCCACGGCATGGCTCATCTGTAGGGGGCGCCCCATCCTCACGACAGAGGACATCTGCCCCCCACAGGCCAGTAGGAGCGCTACAGCCACATACACAGGCAACACGGGCCCACAGAACCTCAGCACCTAAAGGACATCAGGGTAGAAAGTTAGTTAGCTAATTAGTAATATTGGTGTGTTTGAATTAAGCTAACTTGTCTATTTCACACAAGGATAAATTACCCTGGACTACTACAACACTCATAACTCTGTGTGTAAGGGTGAGAGCTGAGCACAACAGTAGAGAGTATAGGTCTTACCTGTCCAAGCACTCTGGGAAATGATGTTCTCACAGATACCTGGAGAGGGAGGGATGAGAAAGAGAGAGATTCAGCCAGTCTTGGAGAAAAAGAGAAGTTTAATAAAACATTTTTTTTTTTAAACTAAAAACCAAACGTGATTCAGCCTGAAGCCTGTATCATGGTGTAATGCCTCACATTAATGGGCAAGACCATGTAGAGATAACATATAGAAAAACAAAAGTATCCCATTTAATTCTGTGGGCAGTACCTTATAGTGGCAGTTGGGGGCAGTGTGGAGCTGCAGCAGGACACCAGCAGTGTTGTCAGGACGACTCGTGTGGAGCATGCCCGATATCTCTGTTACAGAGGGAATACTGAGAGAGATGCAGGGATAGACCAAATAAATAACAGTTTTCCATTGGGTTACTGGTAAATATATTAGATTTAAAAATAGCCAAATGTCATAGGATTGGACAGACAGACAGATGGACGGACAGGTGGTAAGCTCTTACCTGGACGTGGTAACGGAGTCTTCCCTAAACCATGGCACCTTCATTATGTAGACATTGGGTAGTCTGTCTGTACATAGAGACAGTCCAACATTACTGGTACTTTTGCATTTTAAACAATTACCAAAATCATAAATGAAAGATGATTAAGAGCAGCTGTTAACCAAACTCACAAACACGCACCACATCAGTTGATAAAAAATGTGCTGCTGCAAAACCGTAGACGTCTGCTTACCTGCTTTGGTTACTTTGCAGTGGCTTACGACTGAAATTCTGAAAGCCTGATAGACCTGAGGATACAGTGGTCAGTAAGTATAAGGCCAAATACCTCTGTCTTGTTCTGCCTGTACTGTACGTAAGTTATTCAGCCTCCTGATAGAATGCAAGTAGTGGATAATTACTTGACCAAACTTATTAGAGAAATATACAATTCAGATGGACTTACCTGATGAAAGTGCTGCAGCTCAATGGTGTGCCGAAGTCCAGTGGAGTTGAGAGTGACGTCACTAACACTCATGCCTGAACGAGCGAGGACCCACAGAGTTCAACCATAGGGAGCCAGTGTTGCCCACCGAATGAGAAACGTCAACAAATTCAGTATACCTAATTAACTAGCTTTGCAAAATAAACTGGGCATATTTACAGACAAACCAGACTTAATAGATAAAGGTGCAAATATATTTGCTTCTACAGGGAGGAATTAGAGAAAAGGTGAACTCACCAAAGGAGAGAACGTGTGGTACCGGCACAGAGATGGTCTGAGACTCCTGTCTCTGCCACTCACACTCCACTTTAAACTGTGGGACACAGAGTAGAGGAGATACACACATGAATAGTACTACAAGAGTTTCTCTACTTCTCTTCACATTTATGAATATGGATGGCGCTACCACTGAGATAAATGTAGTTGATTTATTTATATTGTGACTACACCTTATGGAAAATAGTGTTTCTCTACTTTTATCTGTATTTGTTAATAACTAGGGCACATAAGTGCTATCAAAATGTAAAGTTGTGTTTAAGAATGAAACAGTGCTTTGGCTTAAGTGCACACAGTGTACCTGTCTACCATTGAGGTTGGAGGCAACCACAATGAGGTGAGAGACAGAGGACAGCTCACTGAGGCTCAGAGTCAGAACCTGGGGGGAGAGGGACAGACAAACAGAGACCAGTGAAGCAACTGTTCTGAAGATTTATTTTGATCTACACTTAATTATTATACACACTTATTTATTTTTGGTCTACACGGTTTGAGTGCAGTGTCAAGTCATGTCCCAATTTATTTAAAGTGCATTTCACAACACAAGAAACAGAGAAATCAAAAACAGAGAACTGACTAAGCCCTAATATTCAGTGATGGTGTAAATATGGGAAGTTAACGCTTACCTTGAAAGCTGGGAGAATTTCGGTTCCCAAAGACAGATCCACTGCCTGCACACTGGGGAAAGAAGAGTACAGTCAGAGACGGCAACGAAAGAGAGAGAGAGAGAGAGAGAGAGAGAGAGAGAATGGTCTGTCAGAAAGAGCAAGCAGGAGCGAGACAAATAGAAAGAGTATGTCTGACAAAAAATCTAAACAGCCATTTTATCAGTTTTCTGTTCAAACGATAAGAAAAATTCAGAACATTCCACGTGAATTCACAATGCAGCTGCGCTGCTGCCAGCAACGGTTTGGGTATCACGGTGCGTCCCTTTCAGCTGGTTAACCATTGCACCTGTACTACCATTACTGTACCTCAATTTCACCACAAAGTTTGCATTTCCTTCCCATTTCATTTCACTGCGTTTGCAAGCCTTTCTCTGCCATTTTCCAAAGTTATTGACGATGATGTAGCGGTGGAGAGCCGACACAAAAATAATTGATTCCTCAAGTCCTTGCCCGTCGACTCCCATTTCTGAGTATCAAGATTCAGTATTTTTGGAACGGAAGAGACTGATTAGTTGCTGTACTTCAGAGAAAACAACACTCACATCTTTCTTAACGAGCTAGCTAGCGAGGGACGAAGAGAGGGGAGGGGCCCAGTATAGGCAGGTCGGCCACCTGGCAGACAGGCATAGTGCGCGTCTCTGACTCTGTCTACCGACAATCAAAAGCTGCATCTCGCAATGGAATGCTGCATCTTGCAAATTCTTGGCTTACAATGTCTCGCAACTTCAGTAAAGCAGAGCCTATCATCAATGAATAGGCTAGGATATTCTACACGCAACAGACCGAAGACTGAACACACACACACTCGCATCATTTGAGAAGAGCAAGAGCAGGCGAGTCACCACGAGGGAAAGAGGAGGAGCAGGCAGAAAGAATGTCTTGGTAATCTGTATCTTGCAATGTATTGTCATGCATGCCTCGCAAATTCACCAAAGTAGCCTAAAGTTTGCTCTCTGGTTTGAATTAAATTACACAACTTCTTCCAGGCCTTTATAGCCTACTGTCTAGTTAGGCTATAACACAGAAGATCATGTTTTGTGATAACTGCACTGTGGGGGGGGGGGGGGGGGGGACAACAACAAAAAAAGTTTTCAGTTAGGGTTTTTTCTTAACGTTAAGGATCCCAACTTATTCACACCCCTACTCACCACATGGATCCGTTCATCTGTGTACAACCGTAAACCCAGCTAGTCATTTCCTGTTGGAGAGACTACAAACATTGGCTCGGTAGTCTCACAAATTACATTCTACTGCTCGCAAGATTCACCTTATACTGTGTTCTCAACTTGCAGACTTACTCACTTCATAAGTCTTACATTTCTAATATTTGTTACAAATGGTGGCAGAAGAGGGATTCATAACCAGTAGGAAGCGCCAGTGTTATCATAAGAGCATATATTGTATACTGGTTTGAATCCCAAGCAGCAGAGCTGCCATCTCAGTCTCACCAGGTTGTTGCTGCGACAGTAGAAGTGGCTGTAGGCTTTCCTGCGACTGGAGAGGGCAAACAGGAAATACTTGGCTTGTCCTTCCTGCAGAGAGCAAAGGAACAATAACTCAGTCATATTTTCAGAAGGCATGGATCTGTAAAGTATGTTATGTGTCTATCATCAAGGTCCAGCTCCATCTAGGTCCAGAAGCGCAATTTAGCCTACTGGAAGACTAAGTGGTGCAATCATCACATTGATTACACCTATCCAGTTATTTTAGGTCTGTGAAGACCAAAGTGATAGGAGCTATGTGAAGGGTCTATGGACCAAAATGGTCCTCAGCCCTGGTGGTAAAGGTGTAGGCTTACTTTGGGAGCACTGTACGCCAGACGGAGTGTGTTCACCTCGGTCCACGTTTCAGGAGACCCTGGAGAATGTGATAAATAGGAGAGTGGTCACACATCCAGTAAAACACATGTACCGTAAAGGACACACAGCCTAAAAGGTGACATACAGTCACACAGTTCAGCCCTTCTACAAAACACACACTGTAGCACTGTAACCCACTGACCTGAGAGGGAGATGGGCATCTCTAGCTGCTCACCCAGCACACGTACAGGGTGTCTGATAAAATGATGGTTCAGAATGGCCATTCTCCTCTTTGGATCGTCTGAAAACTGGTAAAAAAGACACATCGATATAAGGTACTTACCAACTTCAAATGGACAGACAGAGTTCCAATTCTCTTCCCTTCACAGCCTCTTAGAGTTGAAAAGACTGGGCAAGATTCTAGACTAATTATTTCACCTATCAAACTCTTCTCAGATCAATTAGGGAAGTAAGCTATACACTAAGATTAACTGAGCCACAATCCTGGTGTACATCTAGTCTACAGAGGCTTTCGCTTGGTCTCCTCTCATTCATCTGCTATAACCACGTTTCCATCCAGTTTTTATGCGAGTAAAGTCATACGGTATTTTTTAAAATCACGACAGCTGTGATGGAAATAGGACATTTCTGTAACATTTTTATAAATGCAGAGATATAATTTGTTCGTTCGACATGGTGGGTTCCTTTTGCGTCAGTAAAATGAATTATGTGAGAAATGGTGGTGGAAACCTCTTTATGCAAATATAGATATAATAACCATCATATCGAAGTAAACTTGGAGTCACGCAATGATATGGTGTGGCAGGTAGCTTAGTGGTTAAGAGCGTTGTGCCAGTAACCGAAAGGTCGCTGGTTCTAATCCCTGAGCCGACTAGGTGAAAAATCTGTCGATGTGCCCTTGAGCAAGGCACTTAACCCTAAGTGCTCATGTAAGTCGCTCTGGATAAGAGCGTCTGCTAAATGACTAAAATGTAAATGTAAAAAATGTGTGTGGTCCTCCCACTAGGACTTGGGAAACCATGCAGTTTAGACTAAAGATTACATTTACATTTTAGTCATTTAGCAGACGCTCTTATCCAGAGCGACTTACAGTTAGTGAGTGCATACATTTTCCATACTGCCCCCCCCCCCCCCCCGTGGGAAACGAACCCACAACCCTGGCGTTGCAAGCGCCATGCTCTACCCACTGAGCTACAGGAGGGCCGATGAACTTCACAGGGTGGTGAAAGTGCACAGAGATGAGTTTAATGCTCCTTTCCAATAAATATCGAGAGTCTTATTCTGGTGACATGATGATCAATGCTTGACTGCTGTTTGACAACTAAAAATATCATTGCGCTTATCCAGAATTATCTCATCATGTAAACTAGCCTACCCACACTGTATGTGCAAGCTGTTGTTGGCTACAGCACACGTGCCAAGACAAGAGTATGCATATTTGCTATTTTGTTACAAAACTATCAGTAGAGTTGAAAATGCAATGGAAACACATTGAACTTTAGATTTTTCTTCGGTACATGAAAACTTGAGCGAAAAATTACTTTTTTTTGCACTACTTCATTACGCACAGATTTTGTCTGTTTCGTCAAAAACACACCAATTTTCAAATGAAAACCTGTCGCCAATTGGATGGAAACCTAGCTACTGATGCAAAATAACTGGATAGTTGGAAGCAAATTCACAGAATGTTGCCTTTCCTGTGTTTGTTAGAGATGATTCAAGGAGGCCCTGCCTGGTTTCCAGTCTAGTGAGTCAGTGTGATACTCACCTGTCCAGTTTCAGGTTCAATGAGGTCAAAGAATGCCCGCACAGTGGCCAAAACCAGCTCTTTGCACCTGGAAAACAAACACAATAAGTAAATGACTTGCATATTTATGTAAGAGGGTCTGGAGATCACATCAACAAGCTCTAAATCGAATTCCTCTACTTACCAAACAATGGACAGGTGGTCCGTGGACACCCAGGTCCTTGGAACAGCAGTAACCTTCATAAAAGAAAAACAGAAAGTATATTAACACTATCAGATTGAAATTGAATGCCAGGCTGAAGGACTTGAGGCCGTCTAAATTAATCTGGGCTATCAGAATGAAATGTACACTGAGTGTAAAAAACTGACCGACCAGGTGAATGCTATGATCCCTTATTGATATCACTTGTTAAATCCACTTCAAATCAGTGTAGCTGAAGGGGAGGAGACAGGTTAAAGAAGGATTTTTAAGCCTTGAGACATAGATTGTGTATGTGTGCCACTCAGAGGGTGAATGGGAAAGACAAAAGATGTAAGTGCCTTTGAATTGGGTATGGTAGTAGTTGCCAGGCGCACCGTCAAGAACTGCAACACTGCTGGGTTTTTCATGCGCAACAGTTTCCCATGTGTATCAAGAATGGTCCAAACACCCAAAGGACATCCAGCCAACTTGATACAACTGTGGGAAGCATTGGAGTCAACATGGGCCAGCATCCCTGTGGAACGCTTTCGACACCTTGTAGAGTCCATGCCCCGATGAATTGATGCTGTTCTGAGGGCAAGGGGGGGGGTGCAACTCAATATTAGGAAGGTCTTCCTAATGTTTAGTATACTCAGTGTATATTGTTATTTGGCATGTGGTTAACTAATGGGGCGGGAGGTAGTCTAGTGGTTAGGGGCGCTGCACTGCAGCTGACCCATTGCTTCCAGCCTCTTCGGGTGTGTGTGTGTGTGTATCTCGGGTTGGAAGCATAAAATACACATTTATGTTCTCTGTAAGTTAATAGACAATAAAGTACATCTTATCTTATCAATTTAAAGCGTTTGAGTGGACAATTATGCTCAAGTGATAGAACAGTTACAAAGCTTACAGCAGTTCACAAGGCTCGATTTGACCGAAACGTCAACAAAATAAATGTTCAGATAAAACAAATGTGTACGCAGGAGTAACTTTGACTTTGTTGAGTCTTACCACTAGAGACAGCTTGCTTGGGTCGTCCTGGGGGCAGGGCAGGGCCGTGAGGCCGGAGCGCACCTGGTAGTCACGGTAACCACCCCCCACGGAGAGAACTGTCACGTTGCGCAGGTCTTCCGCTCGACCCACCCAGCGCTGTCTCACAGCAGAGTAGAACTCTACACACACAGAGTAGAAAGGAGAGAGGAGAGGAGAAGACTTTAACACAGACAGATCACAGTGCTGGAGGTTACTATACTTTGTAAGCCTTAGTGTGTGTGCGCCATACCCAGTAGGTATGTGTCGAGGGACAGCACAGGAGCCTGGTGAGGGGAGGCCTGGGTGATGATGAGGCTGACAAGGCGAGGGCTGAAGCGGGGCAGGGTGAAGAGGGCTCGGGCCACCACTCCCCCCATGGAGTGACCCACCAACACCACACTATGAGGGGGGGCTTCATGGTCCTGCGGAGAAAGAGGTAGGTATGGGGCTTTGGTTTATCAGTCTAATGGCCAATCCCAAATTGATCCTTAGCACCCTAGGCACTTGTGTTTATCTGAGAGGATTGGATAGTATAAGCAATATGGCAAAAACTCCACCTGCCATCTCAGACAAGTGCCTAGGGGGTAGGGGTTGATTTGGGCTTGGGTGTAAGTCAGTTGTTAGCCACTTTTGGTTAACATTTATAGATCTGATGTTTTTGAGAGAGCTCATATAATATTTTCTTATATAATATACCTTGTAGAGGCGCAGGATGGCCTTGATGCTCTCATGTATAAAGTGGGTCTGCCGGAGCAGGCTGCCTCCGTACAGGGCCACAAGCTCCTCGTTGAAGTCGATGGTGAACACGTTGAGGTGGACCCCTCCTTCCAGTGCCTCAGCTTTCCTCAGGGCCACCGAACCCAGGGAGCGAGCTGGTGAGATGACATAGGAGGTCAAAGACAGATTAGAAAGCTGTGAGAAGATTAACATTTAAGGATAAGATTAATTTATTAATAACCTGAAGTTGGGCAAGGGAGGAGACGTAGGTCAGGGCTATGCAGTTGCAGCCCTCGAACGATGTTCGGCTGGAATGAATGAATAGCTTGACTAGTGTCACTAAATGGTCATGGTAGAACGGACATAATTGCCATGTACACGAGATAGGTCCAACCCTAATCCTATAGAACACCATGTTAAAGTTATTTTCAGGGTGGCCAGCTAGCGATGAGCTCAACCTTTAACCTTAAAGGGGAAAATAACCCTGGGGGAATCTTGGCTTGTTTTCATCATGTCCAAGGCATTTCTAGGTCAGTGAGATGTGTTTCACACATAATTGCCCAGAAGGTAGGCAGGTCTGGGCTTCGCGCACTAAATGATGTACCCTATGACGGCTTCCGGTGTATTAAGGGGGGGATCTGAAAATAAATGTAGTCCTGCTTTGTGGCATTTCGTGAAAGCTCTATGTTATACTGATCTTAGTATACGTTTTTGTGAGTGTAGATATGGTTGTCCTTGTTTGATAGAACCATTGGACTTCTTTCAGTGATGTTCCTATCGGCGGATTCATTGCTAAATATACAAGCTGGCACATTTTTTCCAGTCTTTGAAAGACTACAACTCGCATTGGGCGGTGCTTCATGCTCTGGCCCCGTCCCTCCCCCAAGGCAGGCATTTTTGAAAGGGAGGCAGACACTAACAACACAATCCTTTGGGCAAAACTGAAAGAACAAAACAGACCAGCATGGCTTCAAGCGATTCCTCATCAACATGAATTCGACAATGGAGCATTTGATGTTCTATTAGCTACATGGTGACATTCAACCATACATTTCAACCGGAATATAGCGAAGAGGATTCGAAACAAATAGTTGGATTTAGCTAGAAGCTCAGCTACAATCAATGCCAGCACCAAGAGGGCAGATGACAAATACTGTGGCTAGCTAAGTAAGTTATTTTCCTGCAAGCCACCTAGCCAACTTTAGTTTATCTACTGAAACCCATATTGTGAATTGCTGGCTAACATAGTACTGTGTTACAGTGGGGGGGAAATCTAATTATTTTTTGCTAACTTAGGTAGCTAGCTAGCTAGGTAGGTAGCCATCTAGTCTATCTAGATAGCTAAGTTAGCTAAACAACTACAGGTAGCCATATCTATGACTAAACATAGAAGAGGTTTTACAATCGGAGATCTATTGTATCTCGATTGTAAAACCTCTTCTCTTTTTAGCCGTAGATATGGCTACTAAACAGTAAGCTAAAATGTTAAAACCAGCCACTTAAAGCTAGGTTTACCAGCAAACATTCCCACATGGCTGGAGTTGACTAGCTAGTTAGTCTGGCGCCTGCTAACTTGTTATGCGCCACGCCTCGCGTTTGTAACTTGTTAGCAAACATGTAACATTAGCAACTGTAAATAATTTTACTAGCTAGCTATGCAAGATAATTCACATTGGTTATGACCTTGGATGCATTTCAATCTCAGAAAATTATAGGCATGACGCAAGATAGGATTCCAAACAGATGTAAATAACAATTATTGGCTATCCAGCTAGATAGCTACGTTAGCTAGTTAAGAGGAGAAACAATAATACATTACATTACATTTTAGTCATTTAGCAGACGCTCTTATCCAGAGCGACTTACAGGAGCAAATACAACACTTTATAGTTGTAAATCTCAAACTGATAAGCTGGTTTTACTATAAATATATTTGCCTAAGCATGCCTGATATACATGGTTGTAGCTAGATACTGTCTGCCTACCTACCTAGGTACATTTGTACGGTCTGGTCACTGAGCAAAGGTTTAAGGTTATGCCATATTTCTTTCTATTAGGCTAAATATTGTTCTAAATGTAATCTCTGTGCCGGTGCACATGTATGCATGTTCAACTATTCTACCCTAATGTTGATGTTATGCTGGCACAGTTCAACTGTCGTTCAAACTGTACGATAGAGTATAATTTATTATATTTGTTTGTCTTACAGACAATACCGTGTGGTGCCTGGCTTCTTCCTGGAATGGATTCTAGATACAGAAACAGAATTCCTTTGCCTGCGTGTGTCATTGTAGCAGAACTCTATCCCTCTCGGTAGATTGGACATTATGCTGTATTTCAAGCAGAAGATGACTCAAGAGGAGCTGAATCGCAGTTTGATCATGACAACACTCCCACAGCTGTACAAGTATTCCCTGAACGTTACTACACTGATCATACTGTATGTTTCTTTGTGAATGTCAATTTCATCATGACCAGCTCTCCCATCATCTGCTGATCACCAGTTCTCTTAGCTACAGATTATTACACCAGATAATGTGATTTAACCAAAGATTTTTGGTATTCATTACTGGGAGTTACAGGATAGGTACTGTTCGGTATAGCACTGAATATTTTCGACCAACCTTAGTGATGCTGTCTTCGTCCTCGATTTGTGGAAACAGGAGTCTCATAAAATGTCTGTGTCCATTTGCAGGGGGTCAGTTAGAATTTAGACAATTAACTGTCTTGATCAATGAGAGAAGGCTTGAAATAGACAAGATGGTGGCGTACACTTTGTTGGATTAGTTCATGGAGCAAAACAAATATTTATTTAATAACAAGCATTTTCTCAATTCAAACGGACCCCCTGCAACTGGACACTGACATTTTGAGACTCCTGTTCCCACAATCGAGGACGAAGACCGTATCTACAAGCTAAGGTTGGTGGAACATTCTATGTGCTACCCCAAACAGTACCTATCCTGTAACTCCCAGTAATGGATACCAAAAATCTTTGGTTAAATCACATTATCTGGTGTAACAATCTGTAGCTACAGTTCCCTGCACTTTACTAAACCTGAGACACACTGAACTGTACTACATTGTTCATACTGTGTTTGTGTTTGTTACTTTTACCACATAACATTCTTGTTGAATACCGAGTTCTCTTTTTGAGTTAGCATTAAATAGTGTACAGACCCTTTGCTATGAGACTCGAAATTAAGCTCAGGTGCATCCTGTTTCCATTGATCATCCTTGAGATGTTTCTACAACTTGATTGGAGTCCAGCTGTGGTAAATTCAATTGATTGGACATGATTTGAAAAGGCACACACACCTGTCTATATAAAAAGGTCCCCACAGTTGACAGCGCACATCAGAGAAAAAAACCAAGCCATGAGGTCGAAGGAATTGTTCGCAGAGCTCCGAGACAAGATTGTGTCAAGGCACAGATCTGGGGAAGGGTACCAAAAACATTTCTGCTGCATTGAAGGTCCGCAAGAACAAAATGGCCTCCATCATTCTTAAATGGAAGAAGTATGGAAACACCAAGACTCTTCCTAGAGCTGGCCGCCCGGCTAAACTGAGCATTCGGGGGAGAAGTGCATTGGTCAGGGAGGTGACCAAGAACCTGATGGTCACTCTGACAGAGCTCCAGAGTTCCTCTGTGGAGATGGGACAACCTTCCAGAAGGACAACTATCTCCGCAGCACTCCACCAAATCAGGCTTTTATGGTAGAGTGGCCAGACTGGAGCTACTTCTCAGTAAAAGGCACATGATGGCCCGCTTGGAGTTTGCCAAAAGGCACCTAAAGGACTAATAAGAAACCAGATTCTCTAGTCTGATAAAACCAAGATTGAACTCTTTGGCCTGGAAACCAAGTGTCACGTCTGGAGGAAACCTGGCACCATCCCTACGGTGAAGCATGGTGGTGGCAGCATCATGCTGTGGGGATGTTTCTCAGCGGCAGGGACTGGGAGAATAGTCAGGATCAAGGGAAAGATGAACGGAGCAAAGTACAGAGAGATCCTTGATGAAAACCTGCTCCAGAGCGCTCAGGAGCTCAGCCTGGGGCGAAGGTTCACCTTCCAACAGGACAATGATCCTAAGCACACAGCCAAGACAACACAGGAGTGGCTTCGGGACAAGTCTCAATGTCCTTGAGTGGCCCAGCCAAAGCCCGGACTTGAACCCGATTGAACATCTCTGGAGAGACCTGAAAATAGCTGTGCAGCGACGTTCCCCATCCAACCTGACAGAGCTTGAGAGGATCTGCAGAGAAGAATGTGAGGAACTCCCCAAATACAGGTGTGCTAAGCTTGTAGCATCATACCCAAGAAGACTCAAGGCTGTAATCGCTGCCAAAGGTGCTTCAACAACGTACTGAGTAAAGTGTCTGAATACTTATGTAAATGTCATATCAGTTTTTTATTTTTAATAAGGCAGCAAAAATTTATCAAAACCCGTTTTTGCTTTGTCATTAATGGGTAATGTGTATAGATTGATGAGGTAAAACATATTTTTAAATTAATTTTAGAATAAGGCAAAATGTGGAAAAAGTGAAGGGGTCTGAATACTTTCCGAAGGCACAGTAAATAATTTTTGCTCGTTTGTTATTAGCACAGCCAGACACAGAACATCACACAAGCTGAGATGACAAACGTTAGTGAAAAACAAATGTTTTCAAAAACATCTTGCCTAGAGAAGTTCTGAGATGACTGTGTGTTGGTTGTTCAAAGTAAATAACGCCATCATCCAAGTTTGTGGGCACTCCCCATCTACATAGCAGGGTGGCATCTGCATTCGCTATGAATGCTGGACTAAACTTTCCGATTCTACTAGTGAAATGAAAACGTGCACGTTCTAGCTTGTGGTTTCGATAATCTTGATGTTTATGACAAAAACGTAATGTTGTTAATATAGTAATGACTATATGCCGTGGCAGAGCCAAGGTGAAATTTCCTTTTAATTTCAATTTTTTGCTTATGGGACCATCATCGCTGACATTCATCCACCAGATCCCTGAACAGTGGCTGTCCCCCCATGTGTGAGGATTAGGGTTGACAAAGCTCATATCAACACAAGATGACCTCTGAATAGACTAGAATTACCATTGGAGTTAAGTAATCTGATTAGCAAATCAGAGGGGAGTGTGTGGATTATGGATTTAAGCATCCCTTCAACAGACCTGTGAACCTGGACCTCATTTCACTTCCCTACGAACAGTAGCACTCCTTTTTCTGATGAGTTCGTTAACAGTTTAAGTCAACTCTGATTAAAGGGATCATTCGTGGATACCATTTTTATGTCTCTGCGTACAGTTTAAAATAAATTGCTAACTAGTTAGCGCAATTGCTAACTAGCGTTAGCGCAATGAATGGCAGTCTATGGTAACAGCTAGCTGTTAACATACTATTACCAGTCATTGCACTAACGCTAGTTAGCATTGGCTCGCAAAACTACCTCCAACTTCCTTCATGCTGGATGCAGACATAAAAAGGGTATCCACGAGTTAATCTGACACTGAGGAAGTAGATAAAGGGCTTCATTGCCAAAATCTCAAAGTAACCCTTTAAGTCTGTTTATTGTAAAATCAGGTATTAGACTTGACAGGCTTTAAAGTAGCCTAAACATAGCCTACTTAGTGCTGATGTTGTTGAATGTAAAACATCTAAAGATCATGCCTGGGTTGAGGCTTGCTTGGTTGAGGTTTGTGCTTCTGATGGCAACCATGACATGTAAAATAGGCTAATGCAACAGAACCCATGATGGAGGACACTGAATACCATCATGCATATAAATGGTTAAATTGCAATCTATGTGCATGTTGCATGTGTGCGCGTGTGTGTGTGGGTGGGCGTATGCATGCGAGATTGAGAGTGAGAGAAATAGAGCGATGGGTGTTCTACTCCCACCAGCAGCCCCTAGCAAAACCAAACCAGAAGAAGATAGATCTGCATTAGAGTGGGCATAGGACAGGGATCATCAACTAAATTCAGCTGGATGGTCAGGGGGCCGGAACATAATTACAAATAATTTGTAAACTGCAAATTAAATCACTGCCAGTTGGGAAATCTTTCACCAGCCTATGTACAATATGTAACCGAAGCAGATATTGTACATTAGAGACTCTTAGCTTCCATTGTTAGAGCAATAGAGAGAGCTAGCTTGTGATAGTCCCTAACCTGAGTGGGTATGTTTGATTAGGGTAAGTTTGATAAGTGGATGAGTTTGGTTAGTGGTGGTAGAGGCTCACCTTGTTTGTAGCTTCCTGCGTTTCCAGGTAGGAAAAGAACAGGGGCCCCAGTTAGTTTGAGTCCGCGGGTGTCCTGAGCATACTGGCCCTCTCCGTACAGGTAGAGCCCATACGCTGGGTACTGGCGGGCCACACGTCGGGGCAGGGCCACACGCTGTCAACACACACACACACACACAGTGAGGACACACATCCCTGGTAGAGAGCTCATACTCGTCGAGCATAAAGCGCGACACACTAAGGATACACACATACCTCACTAGAGGTAGAGCCATATGCTGGGTACAGCTGAGCCACACTTCTAGGCAGATGAACACATCACGGAGAAGAAGAAAAAACAGTACCGTGAGAAAGCATCACTACCCTGAGGGACAGGAGAGGTGTGGCACCACATGGCTGATACTGACCCTTGATTGAGCAAATCAGATCAGAGAACAATTTTGAGTAATAAATATAGTAGCTACTAATAATACATTGGCCTAATTCTTCATATTTTATCAGCACCATGGTGAGTTCAGACAGTGCCATATGGTTGTGCCAAGCACTAAATGGGATAATCACCTTATAGTACTTATCATGGATCAACTGCAGCTTCGAACACAAGGTGTGATCTACTGAGCCCTGATGTAACATACAATGATGACACCACACACCCACTCAGCATCCTCAACATACAGTAACTGCCTACCGTGCCACCTCTCTATTGTAGCTAGAGATAGTGGAAATAATGTACAATTCCATGGTAAAATATGAAACGTAGTTGGTGTGCATGACACAGTCCATTGACATCCTCAACAAGGAAATAGCCCTGTGTAGCCTTGTCACTCTGAAAATCATGCATGAGGTGCGATGTTGAAATTGGAAGCCTAATGCAGGTGTTCAACAACAACAGGTAGCTCGAGCTTCAGAATTATATATCGGTCATGGGCTAATTTATAGCTATCCATATTATGGCTATCAAAATGACAGCTGGACATTGACAGCTGGAGAGAGAAAAAATGGTAGCTGGTCCTGAAAAGGTGGGACACTAAAATAATGTTACGCATTTTCTAGCAACGTTCCGAGTGTTGTTGACAGTGCCGAGCGATTACGCCGAACCGAAACCAAATCGCGCACGGTGCCATTTGTTTGAGATCAATAGGTAAACTACTCACCCGGTACTCGGGGTACTCGAACATATAGGTCATGGTGCATCTATTCTCTTCAAATCCCGACAACAATTCTCGCAGGCCCATCGCCAGAAGACCCATTGCACACCCGTAAAAGGCCACAGTGGCGACTCTCATGTCTACTGTCTTTCGGCTTTTGTCTGTTTACAGATATACGGTTTCCATTTTTCCTTTTGCAAACCCTCTCTCTGTTAAACCTGATCGGGAGGCATAACGTTACCTATAGCCTTCAATCTGCGGGAACGTCACTGATTCAAAGATTGTTTAACCAATGAGAGAGGAAACACCGGGGAGACGGCCCAATGACAACTTCGAGTGGATTTACTTCAATAACCTAACGTAGCAGGCGTAAAAGAACGTTCAGTTCGCATGAACGTTTGCTACGTTGAGAAACGGTTTGTATTGAACGACACCAAAGATATTTATAATTAACCCAAGATAGTTCAACTGTGTCACAGTAGGAGGAAATGAAACATAGTGGGCAGAACAAGCAAGGAGGTGGGTAAAGCCCAGCACGAGCTAGCGAGATCCTATTGGCGCGTTGTAGCAAACATTTGCATATTTACGTTAGGGAACGCCTCCTCCGTGAAGTGCGCGTGTGCACAAACTCAATTCGACCTTGCAGTCCTAAACAACACTATTCCTTAAAACTCTGGAAAAGCATCAAGTCTATAAAGCTTTGTGCGCTGTGTTCGTAACAGATTGCAGTTTTGGGAACAGAACAATTTATTGAGATCAGATGTTTCATCAATGAGAAAATTAGCAGAATGTTGGCCTGGTTTCACCTAGCTCCATCCTCTCCCACTACCCGCGACTGGACTTCCTCTCTCTACCATATTTGATGGTGAGACAACGTTCTAAACCAGGGATCATCAACTAGATTCAGCCGCTGGCCGATTTGTTCTTGAGCGGATGGTCGGGGGGCGGATCACAATTACAAATAATTTGTAGACTGCAAATTGACCACAAGAAGCCCAAACAGATACAGTATAATGTTCGCATGAAACATAATGATTTCAAACCTTACTTACATTTGTATACAATCACGTGTCTCTCTATTATGTGTGGGAATACTTGGCAACATATTTCTTAAATTAAAATCACTTGGAGCTGATTTCCTGCTGTTTTTACAGTCTTTTATTTCCTACAATGAAACAAAAAAAGTATATATATACACTACCAGTCAGAAGTTTGGACACACCTACTCATTGAAGGGTTTTTCTTTATTTGTACTATTTTCTACATTGTAGAATAATAGTGAAGACATCAAAACTATGAAATAACACATATGGAATCATATAGTAACCAAAAAGGGTTAAACAAATCAAAATATATTTTATATTTGAGATTCTTCAAATAGACACTCTTTGCCTTGATGACAGCTTTGCACACACTTGGCATGCTCTCAACCAGCTTCATGAGGTAGTCACCTGGAATGCATTTCAATTAACAGGTGTGCCTAGTTAAAAGTTAATTTGTGGAATTTCTTTCCTTCATAATGTGTTTGAGCCAATCAGTTGTGTTGTGATAAGGTAGGGGTGGTATACAGAAGATAGCCTTATTTGATAAAAGACCAAGTCCATATTATGGCAAGAACAGCTCAAATAAACAAAGAGAAATTACAGTCCATCATTACTTTAAGCCATGATGGTCAGTCAATTCGGAGCATTTCAATAACTTTGAAAGTGTTTTCAAGTGCAGTCACACTTTTCCAACAGTCTTGAAGGAGTTCCCACATATGCTGAGCACTTGTTGGCTGCTTTTCCTTCATGTCCGACTCATCCCAAACCATCTCAGTTGGGTTGAGGTCGGGGGATTGTGGAGGCCAGGACATCTGATGCAGCACTCCATCACTCTCCTTCTTGGTAAAAAAGCCCTTACACAGTCTGTAGGTGTCTCCCGGCTATCTACCTCTCTGTCAACCGGACGGGACCTCCTAGTGTTGACACTGAGCCCCGCCGATCCAACACGACTGGTTTGCAGACGAAATCGTCTGATGTGGTTTCAACAGGCTTCCCGTTACGACGTCGACCACGAAGATCCATCGGCTAGCCCCGGCCCGCTAGCACACGCAAACAACAGCCGTGCTTCCTGCTCGCTGTGCTTTAGCACCAATTCAAACTGCTCTCGGACTCACATATTGCTGTTCACTGGACCTTATGATCACTCAGCTGCACAGCTGATGCCTGCTGGACTGTTCCTTTACACGGTACCCTGTCCTGTTTATTCTGTTTAGCCTCAGCCCAAACTTTATTGCCATTACCAGTTGTTGTCTTAGCTCTCTCTAATAACACCTGTGATTGCTTTATGCCTCTCTACCATGTCAATATGCCTTGCCTATTGCTGTTTGGGTTAGTTCTTATTATACAATTTCACTGTAGAACCCCAAGTCCCTCTCAAACTGCCTCAAATAGTTCCTTTGTTCCTCCCCCCATACACGCTGAGACCGGCTCAATCGGTGCCTCCAGTGATGCTATCTCTTTCATTGTTACCCAACGCTTAGGTTTACCTCAACTGTACTCATATCCTTCCATATCATTTTCTGTACATAATGCCCTGAGTCTTTTCTACAACGCCCGGAAATCTGCCCCCTTTATTCTCTGTACCCAACGCACTAGAAGACCAGTTCTTAAAGCCTTTAGCCGTATCCTTATTCTAATCCTCCTTTGTTCCTCTGGTGATGTAGAGGTTAACCCAGGCCCTGCAGCCCCCAGTATCACTCCTATTCCCCAGGAGCTTTCATTTGTTGACTTCTGTAACCATAAAAGCCTTGGTTTTCTGCACGTAAATATCAGAAGCCTCCTTCCTAAGTTTGAGTTATTCACTGCGTTAGCACACTCCGCCAACCCTGATGTTCTAGCAGTGTCTGAATCCTGGCTTAGGAAGGCCACCAAAAATTCTTAAATTTCCATCCCCAACTATAACATTTTCCGTCTAGATAGAACTGCCAAAGGGGGTGGAGTTGCAATCTACTGTAGAGATAGCCTGCAGAGCTCTATCATACTATCCAGGTCTGTGCCCAAACAGTTTGAGCTTCTACTTCTAAAAATCCACCTTTCCAGAAATAAGTCTCTCACTGTTGTCGCTTGCTACAGACCCCCCTCAGCCCCCAGCTGTGCCCTGGACACCATATGTGAATTGATTGCCCCCCATTTATCCTCAGAGTTCGTACTGCTTGGTGACCTAAATTGGGATATGCTTAACACCCCAGCCATCCTACAATCCAAACTAGATGCCCTCAATCTCACACAAATTATCAACGAACCTACCAGGTACAACCCTGAATCTGTAAACATGGGTACCCTCATAGATATCATCCTGGCTAACTTACCCTCTAAATACACCTCCGCTGTCTTCAACCAGGATCTCAGCGATCACTGCCTTATTGCCTGCGTCCGTAACGGGTCCGCGGTCAAACAACCACCCCTCATTTACTGTCAAACGCTCCCTAAAACACTTCAGCGAGCAGACTTTCCTAATTGACCTGGCCCAGGTATCCTGGATGGATATAGATCTCATTCCGTCAGTAGAGGATGCCTGGTTGTTCTTTAAAAGTAATTTCCTCTCAATCTTAAATAAACATGCCCCATTCAAAAAAATACAGAACTAAGAACAGATATAGCCCCTGGTTCTCCTCAGACTTGACTGCCCTTGACCAGCACAAAAACATCCTGTGGCGTACTGCATTAGCATCAAATAGCCCCCGCGATATGCAACTTTTCAGGGAAGTTAGGAACCAATATACACAAGCAGTTAGGAAAGCAAAGGCTAACTTTTTCAAACAGAAATTTGCATCCTGTAGCACTAACTCGAAAAAGTTTTGGGACACTGTAAAGTCCATGGAGAATAAGAGCACTTCCTCCCAGCTTCCCACTGCCCACACTGCTGGCACCCGCCCACCCGACAAGAATCACTACTCTCGACGGGTCTGACCTAGAGTATGTGGACAACTACAAATACCTAGGTGTCTGGTTAGACTGTAAACTCTCCTTCCAGACTCACATTAAGAATCTCCAATCCAAAGTTAAATCTAGAATCTGTTTCCTATTTCGCAACAAAGCCTCCTTCACTCATGCTGCCAAACATGCCCTCGTAAAACTGACTATCCTACCGATCCTTGACTTTGGCGATGTCATTTACAAAATAGCCTCCAACACTCTACTCAGCAAATTGGATGTAGTCTATCACAGTGCCATCCATTTTGTCTCCAAAGCCCCATATACTACCCACCACTGTGACCTGTACGCTCTTGTTGGCTGGTCCTCACTACATAATCGTCGCCAAACCCACTGGCTCCAGGCCATCTATAAATCACTGCTAGGCAAATTCCCGCCTTATCTTAGCTCATTGGTCACCATAGCAACACCCACCCGTAGTATGTGCTCCAGCAGGTATCTCACTGGTCATTCCCAAAGCCAACACCTCCTTTGGCCGCCATTCCTTCCAGTTCTCTGCTGCCAATGACTGGAACGAATTGCAAAAATCTCTGAAGCTGGAGACTCTTATCTCCCTCACTAACTTTAAGCATCAGTTGTCAGAGCACCTTACCGATCACTGCACCTGTACACAGCCCATCTGAAATTAGCCCACCCAACTACCTCATCCCTATATTGTTATTTATTTTGCTCATTTGCACCCCAGTATCTCTATTTGCACATCTATCATTCCAGTGTTAATACTAATTGTAATTATTTTGCACTATAGCCTATTTATTGCCTTAATTCCATAACTTGCTATATTTGCACACACTGTATATATATTTTCTGTTGTATTTTTGACTTTATGTTTTGTTTTACCCCATATGTAACTCTGTGTTTTTATCGCACTGCTTTGCTTTATCTTGGCCAGGTCGCAGTTGTAAATGAGAACTTGTTCTCAACTGGCTTACCTGGTTAAATAAAGGTGAAATAAAATAAAAAAATAAAAAAAGGTGTGCTGGGTCATTGTCCTGTTGAAAAACCAAATGATAGTCCCACTAAGCCCAAACCAGATGGGATGGCGTATCGCTGCAGAATGCTGTGGTAGCCATGCTGGTTAAGTGTGCCTTGATTTCTAAATAAATCACAGACAGTTTCACCAGCAAAGCACCCCCACACCATAAAACCTCCTCCTCCATGCTTTACGGTGGGAACTACACATGCGGAGATCAGCCGTTCACCCACACCGCGTCTCACAAAGACACAGCGGTTTGAAACAAAAATCTCCAATTTGGACTCCAGACCAAAGGACAAGTTTCCACCGGTCTAATGTCCATTGCTCGTGTTT